GACCACATTGCTGGAGATGAGGATCATACAGATGGAGTAGTAGCTTGTGCTGCTGGACTGATAGGGGATTTATGTACAGCATTTGGGAAGGATATACTGAAATTAGTAGAAGCTAGGCCCATGATCTATGAACTGTTACCTGAAGGATGGAGATCGAAGACTAACAAAGCAAAAACCGTTGCTACATGGGTAACAAAAGAACTGAGGAAACTGAAGAACCAAGCTTGATCTGTTACCATTGGGATGATAACCTGAGACCCCCACTGGAAATCTCCAATCTTTTGAAAAACCCAGAAGTGAGGAGTGTGCATGGATGCCAAATGTTAGGGAATGAGAGTATGAGTGAGTGAGGCTTGAAAACACACCACATTGAAAATCCTCCCACAGCAGCAGCTGCAGCCGTCAACAGCAGCGCTGTTAGTGAGCTAAGTAAGCACTGACTTCGTAGAAAACCATAACGTCGGCTGCCTTGGAAAAGAGAAAAACGATGGCTTTACTTAAAAAAAAGAAACAAAGCTATCTCTTCCCAGGAAAGGCTAGAACTATCTTTTCTGTGTTTTGGCTGGTGCTAAGTGGAATGACTGGTTTGGGAGAGGAGGGACTGGGTTCACCTGTGGTGCTTTGTTGTAAAAGGCAGCCTGGCCTTTGCTACTGATAAGAAAGATGGAGCCTGGGTCTCAAGTCCACCTTCAGTGTACCTTTGCCACACGGTACTGTACACGTGCCAGCTAAGAGGAGGGTGAGGGATTCTTTTCAGTCTGAGAATGAGTGTGTGTGAGTGAGGCGGTATCCACATTCTCAACTTCAAGTCATTGCAGTTTCTTCCCCCCCCCAAAAAAAGGGGGTTAGATGTTGCATTTCATAAAACTAACCGAAGTTCTGTGTACTGATGCAGCACAAGAGATGTTTAAAAAAAAAAAAAAAAACTAAAGATGCTCTTTAGGGATTTTGTTTTGTTTTAATTATCTTTTAGGGAAAACACTGACGAATGGTCAGAGCTCCCATCCTGATATTTTCATCCAGGCGCCTTTCCTAATAATATGGGTCGACTGTGAATGTAGAAGTGGGGAGGGGACAGAAAAAGAAAACTATGGAGTTAGAGGATATAGAAAAAAGAAAAATACAATTGTCACAGATAAAGAATACAGACTTCAAAAACAACAACAACAAAAAAGCTACAACCCAGACAAACCAAAAGTTATAAATGCTCAAAATTGGCAACACAAAAGGAAAGCTCTCTCCTGACTTGTATTGTGGCAGTCTGAAAGCCCCCAGAAAATTGTGCCAAAGAGTTTAGAAAACAAATATACAATGAAGGTAAACACACACACATACACACAAAACAGCAAACTTCAGGTAACTATTTTGGATTGCAAACAAAATTAAATTTAATATTTAAACAATCATAAAATAACCATTTGGAAACTGAAAAAAAAAAAAAAAGGTGGAAACAACCTAGATGCCCATCAACAGATGAGTGGATAAACAAACTATGGTACATACACACAATGGAGTATTATGCAATGATAAAGAACAATGATGAATCTGCGAAGTATCTCACAACATGGATGAGTCTGGAGGGCATTATGCCAAGTGAAATAAGTCAATCACAAAAGGACGAATATTGTATGAGACCACTACTATAAAAACTCATGAAAAGGTTTACACACAAAAGAAATAATCTTTGATGGTTTTAAGGGAGGGGAAGGGTGAGGATGGAAAAACACCAAATGGACAATAGATAAGTGGTAACTTTGGTGAAGGGTAAAACAGTACACAATACTGGGAAAGCCAGCACAACTTGTCCAAGGCAGGGTCATGGAAGCTCCATATACACATCTAAACTCCTGAGTGGCCGAATTACTGACATGAGGGCTGAGGGGACCATGGTCTCAGGGAACATCTAGCTCAAATGGCATAATATAGTTTATAAAGAAAGTGTTGTACATTCTACTTTGGTGAGTAGAGTCTGGGGTCTTAAAAGCTTGTGAGCAGCCATCTAAGATACTCCACTGGTCTAACCATGTCGGGAGCAAGGGAAAATGAAGAAAACCAAAGACACAAGGGAAAGACTAGTCCAAAGGACTGATGGACCACAACTACCACAACCTCCACCAGACTGAGTCCAACACAACTAGATGGTGCCTATTACCAGCAATGACTGATCTGAGAGGGATCACAATAGAGGGTCCTGGACAGAGCTGGAGAAAAATATAGAAGGAAATTCTAACACACAAAAAAGACCAGACTTACTGGCCTGACAGAGACTGGAGAGACCCCTTAGAGTACGGCCCCTGGACACCCTTTTAGTTCAGTAATGAAATTATTCTTGAGGTTCACCCTTCAGCCGAAGATTAAACAGACCCATAAAACAAAATGAGACTAAAGGGGCACACCAGACCAGGGTCAAGGGCTAGAAGGCAGAAGGGGACAGGAAAACTGGGAATAGGAAACCCAAGGTTGAGAAAGGGAGAGTGTTGACATGTTGTGGGGTTGGTAACCAATGTCACAAAACAGTATGTGTACTAGTTGTTTAATGAGAAGATAGTTTGTTCTGTAAACCTTCATCTAAAGTACAATAATTAAAAAGAAAAAGCAATTGATTATCTAAATCAGAAAAATTGTGGATGAGAGGATATCTATACTTAAGAAAATCACTCATTTACTCTTAACTTAATATTGAAAGATGAATATATTATGATTGAAAAAAAATAAATTAATTATAAGTAAAAATGGTGTGGGGGCAGTGTCTGACCTCCTCTAACTTCACAAGGGGGAAGAAGAATCAAGATCAACAGCCCGAGGCTAATTCCTATGAGGTGGAGATCAGTCATGCCTCCTCTCTGCCATCTTTACCAATTCTGAAACCAACCGTCCCTACCATGGCACTCTACTTCTCTGCTTGGTTCAATAATTCATTGCAATGGCCACATAGAATTCACAGACAATACTGACAATTCTGGGGTTTATTAGGGAAGTAACACTTAAAATTCAGGTTCAGGAACACTCAGGATACAGTTCTTCCATCAGGACAGCCTCTTCCCAGCCGTGCTTCCAGGCACGCCTCTCCCTGGCCCTTGTCCTCTGCCCAAAGGCACTCAGCTTTCTCTCTCCATGGGCCAGGAAGCCCACTACACCATCTCTTGCTTCTAAGTCTCTGCTGCCAGGTCTCTGCTGCCTTCAGCGTTACAGCTTTCGGTCTTCTGGGTCCAGGAGCTTCTCAGCACAGGGATACTTGGGGCAAAGAACACTCTCTCCGCTCCTGGATGTTCTTCCTTGGTGGTGGTAGGATGCTTTCTCTCGCCACTGGGATGGATCACCTCAAGCCCAATGGGATGGCAAAATTGACCAATCCCTTTGGTGGGCCAAAATTACCATATCTGCACAGTCCTGCCCAATCAATTCGGTGGGAGTTACAAGACCATGGCTAGAAAGGCCACACAAAAGTGATCCATTGCACTGCACTATAGAATTTTATATTAAGCCAAATTTTTATTAAGGTGCAATAATTTAACACTGTAATGTATGTACTTATGAGTGACAGTCCTGTCAGTGTTCTTATGAATATATCTTTGTGCATGTGAACACACTTTCCTCTAGGTATATACTCAATGGTGGTAGCTCTCCATTTCTGCCTTTTAATTGGTAATTCCAAACTTCTTCCTAAATTAGTTGAAGAAATTTGTAATGCATTGGAATTCTCTGTGCTCAATAGTCTCTCTTACAATTGATATTGTCATTTTTTTCTTTTGGCTCTTGTCTTAGTCATCTAGTGCTGCTATAACAGAAATACCACAAGTGAATGGCTTTAGCAAAGAAATTTATTCTCTCACTGTCTATTAGGCTACAAGTCCAAATTCAGGGCATCAGCTCCAGGGGAAGGCTTTCTCTGTCTGTCAGCTCTGGAGGAAGGTCCTTGTCATCAGTCTTCCCTTGGTCTGGAAGCATCTCAGTGCAGGAACCTCAGGTCCAAATGACACGCTCTGCTCCTGGCACTGCTTTCTTGTTGGTATAAGGTCCTCAACTCTCTGCTTGCTTCCCTTCCCTTTTTTCTCTTGTAAGATAAAAGGTAGTGCAGGCCAGACCCCAGGGAAACTCCCTTTACATTGGATCAGGGATGTGACCTTAGTAAAGGTGTTATTACAATCCCACCCTAATCCTCTTTAACATAAAATTACAATCACAAAATGGAGGACAACCACACAATACTGGGAATCATGGCCCAGCCAAATTGATACACACATTTTTTTGGGGGACATAATTCAATTCATGACAGCTCTCATGTGGATATGTGAGAAATTTGGTAATATAATTTCATTGAAACGATGCGATAATATTGAGGTAGAAATTAGTATTACCATTAAAATAGGAAGGAACATAGATGCACATAGGGACTCAGAAGTTTGTTCCCCAGCTGGCTTATACTCACTTGAGAAAGACAATTCTGTTCATCGTTCCCAACTCTGCATTCAATGAAGTCACATTGGCACCTTGAAGTTGGACAGGCAGAGAGTATTAACACCACAGAAACTGGCAATTACCACAAAATGCCACAAATCAGAATTTTGTTTTTGTTTTTTCCATAGAACAGGTTTTCAAGAATACTGCTGGACTGTCACTTCAAATACAAGATGCTGATTCATAGTGAAGATATTTCTGGGAAATAATAACAGGAAGTAGTTGATGAAGAGTGAAGGACTTGTGGCTTTCAGATGGTGTTAGGTACATTTTGGATTTAACTTTTCCAAGTTGAAGTCTGATTGTCACCCATTTATTTCCTTATTTAAACCAGGTTCCTTGCTTTGAGCTAAAGAATTGGAGAGTTAAGAGTGCACATCAGGTAATGTGGTTTAGAAATAAAGTCAAATGCATTACATGAAAGTGGACCAGAGGATTAGATGTATAGAGGTATGGATCCAAATATGCCTTGTGGGATGTATCTTCATGTTATAGGGATGGGGAAAGAAGGGGATCCAATCAAGGAAATTCAACAACAGTAGAGATGGAAAACACCACAGTTTATTGTTGGCAGAGTCCCGTACAGGAGTACCTCATACATTGTCCCTGAACCTGTACAATGTTTCCTCCCCCTTGAGATTCTCAGCACAGAGTCCATACAGCACATGCTCTAGGTTTTCTGCCAGAACCTCCTGGAATATCAATTGTTTTCAAGAGTCTACCACTCTGAATGGTGCATTTCTTCTCTTGTGTTTACCTCCTGGTTGCAGCTAAGGGACTTCTTTGGCTCTTTCATGACTGATATAGCAGGACAACGAGGACCACGAGGACCAAACCAGTCATACCCATCCTGATGAGATTCTCTACTGTGTAATCTTGGGAGTTTGAGGCTAGGGATTGTAGACAAAGAAGTCACAGAGGGCAGGGCAGGCCCAATCAGCCTTGGGGTCCAGGAACTCCATCCAGGATACCCACCTCCCTTGCAGGTCATGTACCCTGTGTGCCCCCAACCCCATAAATGAGAGCTTCTCCTTACCACTCTTGAAGTCTGGCTTGTGTTTTGATAGACTGGTGGTATTAGCTGCTTCTGCCAATAAAAAATAGAAGAGGTGGATGAGGAATTGAAGAGACTCAAGCTCAGTCACTTCTATGCGTTCTGCATTCTTATATCTCCTCACTTCTCATGACATGACTTTTATGTGGTTCCTTAATGAGCTATTCTCCTGCTGTAGTTGGATTCCCTACAGCCTCTTCCTCCTATTCTTATAGACCTCCTGTTTTCTTTTAATTGAGCCCCCATTTTAATCACAGTGGAACAGAGTGTGGCTGTGCCAGAAGAGCTCAGGCTTGGCAAGAAAAATAGTCTTCCAGTCTAGAAATAATGGAGCTTGTGTATGCTCTCTGTTCATCTGAGACATAGGCCACATAAGCTTAATCTCCTGGAGAAAAGTTTCTACTTATTCAACATCCAATGACCCAGGATCCATGGATGAGGAGTTGGGTCATCAGGTGCTCCAGAATTTCAGGAGCACAAAGGAGTACAAGTCTGGGGCTGAGTCCCCTTCACTTCACCTTGACCAGTTCTTCCTTGCCTTGGGTTTGCATTTCAGTCTTCACCTGATATTTAATCATCTAATTTTCTTTCATTAATTAATTCTTCATATAGTTAGAAATACCTACAATGAGAGATTATATAAATTGCTGTTGTTAGGTGCTATCAAGTCAGTTCCAACTCATAGTGACCCTATGTTTGAGCCCATCATTACAGCCACTTTGTCAATCCATCTACTTGAGGATTTTCCTCTCTTTTGCTGATCCTTTACTTTACCAAGCAGGATGTTCCTTATCCAGGGACTGGTCCCTCCTGATAATATGTCTAAAGTACATGAGATGAAGTCTCTCCATCCTCACTTCTAAGGAGCACTCTGGCTGTACTTCCTCCAGGACAGACTTGTTGATTCTTCCGGCAGTCTATGATATATTCGATATTCTTCGCCAACACCATAATTCAAAGGCATCAATTCTTCTCCTGTCTTCCTTATTCATTGTCCAGCTTTCGCATGCATATGAAGCGATTGAAAATACCATGCCTAGGGTCAGGAGTACTTTAGTTGTCAAAGTGACATATTTGTTTTTCAACACTTTAAAGAGGTGTTTTGCAGCAGATTTGCTCAATACAATAGGTCGCTTGATTTCTTGACCGCTGCTTCCATGGGCTTTGATTGTGGATCTAAGTAAAATGAAATTCTTGACAACTTCGATCTTTTCTCCATTTATCACGATGTTGCTCATTGTTCCAGTTGTGCAGATTTTTGTTTTCTTTATGTTGAGGTGTAATCCATACTGAAGGCAGTTGTCTTTGATCTTCAGTAAGTGCTTCAAATCCTCTTCAATTTCAGCAAGCAAGGTTGTGTCGTCTGCATATCGCGGTTGTTAATGAGTCTTCCTCCAATCCTGATGCCCTGTCCTTCATATAGTCCAGCTGCTCACATTATTTGCTCAGTATACAGATTGAATAAGTATGGTGAAAGGATATAACCCTGAAGCACACGTTTCCTGATTTTTAAACCATGCAGTTTTCCCTTGTTCTTTTTGAACAACTGCTTCTTGGTCTCTGTACAGGTTCACATGAGCACAATTAACTGTTCTGAAATTCCCATTCTTTGCAATGTTATCCATAATTTGTTATGATCCACACAGACGAATGCCTTTGCATAGTTAATAAAACACGGGTAAACTTCTTTCTGGTCATCTCTGCTTTCAGCCAAGATCTATCTGACATCATCAATGATATTGCTTGTTCCATGTCCTCTTCTGAATCCGACTTGAATTTCTGGCAGTTCTCTGTGGATGTACTGCTGCAATCATTTTTGAATGCTCTTCAGCAAAATTTTACTTGTGTGTGATATTAATGATATTGTTCGATAATTTCCACATTCTATTGGATCAGTTTTCTTTGGAATGGGCACAAATATGGATCTCTTCCACTTTATTGGCCAGGTAGCTGTCTTTCAAATTTCTTGGATTAGATGAGTGCTGCTTCTGTGCATTGAAACATCTCAGTTGGTATTCCATCAATTCCTGGTGCCTTGTTTTTTGCCGATGCCTTCAGTGCACCTTGGGCTTTTTCCTTCAATATCATCAGTTCTTGATCATATGCTGCCTCCTGAAATGGTTGAACATTGACCAATTATTTTTGGTAGAGTGACTCTGTGTATTTCTTCCACCTTCTTTTGATGCTTCCTGTGTCATTCAGTATTTGCCCTTAGAATCTTTCCGTATTGCTACTCCAGGCTTGATTTTTTTCTTCAGTTTATTCAGCTTGAAAAATGCCAAGCGTGTTCTTCCCTTTTGATTTTTTAACTCCAAGTCTTTGTGCATTTCATTACTTTACTTTGTCTTCTCGAGCAGCACTTTGAAATCCTCTGTTTAGCTCTTTTATTTCATCATTTCTTCCACTCATTTTGGCTACTCTACATTCAAGAACAAGTTTCAGAGTCTCTTCTGGCATCCATTTCGGTCATTTCTTTCTTTCCTATCTTTTTAATGACCTTTTGCTTTCTTCGTGTATGATGTCCTTGATGTCATTCCACAACTCATCTGGTCTTCAGTCATTAGTGTTCAATGCATCAAATCTATTCTTGAGATGGTCTCTAGAATCAGGTGGGATTTTGGTCATATTTTGGTTCTTGTGAACTTGTTTTAATTTTCTTCAGCTTCAACTTAAGCTTGCATATGAGCATTTGATGGTCTGTTCTGCAGTCAGGTCCTGGCCTTGTTCTGACTGATGATATTGAGCTTTTCCCTTGTCTCTTTCCACAGATGTAGTCAATTTGATTCCTGTGTTTCCATCTGGAGAGGTCCAAGTGTATAGCCACCATTTATATTGTTGAAAAAGGGTATTTGCAATTAATAAGAAGTTGGTCTAGCAAAATTCTATCACGTGATCTCTGGCATCGTTTCTATCATCAAGGCCATATTTTCCAACTACCAATCCTTCTTCTTTGTTTCCAGCTTTCACATTCCAATCACCAGTAATTACCAATGCATCTTGATTGCATGTTTGATCAATTTCAGACTGCAGCTGTTAGTAAAAGTCTTCAATTTCCTCATCTTTGGCATTAGTGGTTGCTGCAAAAATTTGTATAGTAGTCGTATTAACTAGTCTTCCTTGTAAGCATATGGATATTATCTTATCACTGACAGCATTGTACTTCAGGATAGATCTTGAAATGTTCCTGTTGCCAATGAATGTGTTGCTATTCCTCTTCAATTTGTCATTCCTGGCATAGCAGTCCAGATGATTGTCTGATTAAAAATGATCAATACCAGTCCATTTCAGCTCACTAATGCCTAGGATATCGATCTTCATGGGTTCCATTTCACTTTGGATGATTTCTAATTTTCCTAGATTCATACTTCGTACATTCAATGCTCTGATTATTAACGGATGTTTGCAGCTGTTTCTTCTCATTTTGAGTTGTGTCACATCAACAAATGAAAGTCCTGAAAGCGTTACCCATCCACGTCATTAATGTTAACTTTCCTTTGAGGAGGCAGTTCTCCCCTCGTATGTTGAGTGCCTTTCAACCTGACGGGCCCATCTTCCAGCCCTCTATCAGCTGATATTCCACTGCCATTCATAAGGTTTTCACTGGCCAATTATTTCACTGGCCAGGTCCCTGTTCCTAGTCTGCTTAGTCTGGAAGCTCCGCTGAAACCTACCATGGGTGGCCCTGCAGTATTTGAAATAGTAGTGGCATAGCTTCCAGCATCACAGCAACATGCAAACCACCACAGTTGGAGAAACTGACATGTGTCTATATAATATATTTAAATAATATTTATAAATAAATATTATATAAATATATTTATACACAATCACATATATCTATACATACACACAAACATATATACACACACAAATGTATTTATATAAATTTATATATACACACATATATCTACAAACAGACATGTAGATATATACTTATTTATTTATAGATGATGGTGTTAAATTAGTGAGTCGTAAAGACAGTATTTTTGCTTTCTTGGAGCTGAATCTAGTTGACTAGATCAAATCACACTTGTAAATGTATGTTGTTGTTGTCAGGTGCTGGAGTCAGTTTTGACTCATAGTGACCCTATGCACAACAGAATGAAACACTGCCCGGACCAGAACCATCTTCACAATTGTTGTTATGTTTGAGCCTATTGTTGCAGCCACTGTAACAATCCATCTTGTTGACGGTCTTCCCTGTTTTCGCTGACCCTCTACTTTACCAAGCATGATGTCCTTCTCCAGGGACTGGTCCCTCCTGATAACATGTCCGAAGTACATGAGACAAAGTCTGGCCATCTACATTCTGTTGGATCACCTTGCTTTGGAATGGGCACAAATATGGATCTCTTCCAGTTGGTTGGCCAAGAAGCTGTCTTCCAAGTTTGTTTACGTAAATGAGTGAGCACCTGAGAAACATCTCAATTCATATTCTGTCAATTCCTGGAGCCTTGTTTTTTGACATTCCTTTCAGTGCAACTTGGACTTCTTCCTTCAATGCCATCAGTTCTTGATTATATGGTACCTCCTGAAATGGGTGAACATCAACCAATTCTTATTGGTACGGTGACTTTGTGTATTCCTTCCATCTTCTTCTCATGCTTCCTGTGTTGTTCAATATTTTCCCCACAGAATTCTTCACTATTGCAAATTGAGGCTTGAATTTTTTCTTCAGTTCTTTCAGCTAGAGAAACGCTGAGCATGTTCTTCCCTTTTGGTTTTCTAACTCCAGGTCTTTGCACATTTCATTGTAATACTTTGTCTTCTCGAGTAGCCCTTTGAAATCTTCCGTTCAGCTCTTTTACTTCATCACTTCTTCCAATTGTTTTAGCAAGTATCTGAGTCTTTTCTGACATCCATTTTGGTCTTTTCTTTCTTTCTTGTCTTTTTAATGATCTTTTGGTTTCTTCATGTATCATGTCCTTGATATCCTTCCACAACTCATCTGGTCTTCGGTCATTAGTGTTCAATGCGTGAAATTTATTCTTGAGATGGTCTCTAAATTCAGGTGGGATGTACTCAAAGTTATGTTTTGGCTCTTGTGGACTTGTTCTAATTTTCTTCAGCTTCAGCTTGAACTTGCATATGAACAATTGATGGTCTGTTCTGCTGTCAGCGCCTGGTCTTGTTCTGACTGATGCTATTGAGCTTTTCCATTATCTCTTTCCACAGATGTAGTCAATTTGATTTCTGTGTTTTCCATGTGGTGTCTGTGTATTCCTGTGTATATCACCAAGGGTCTGCCAGTTTGTTGTACTGTGGTGGCTTGGGTGATGCTGTGATGCTGGTAGTTATGCCACTGGTAGTTCAAATACCATCAGGGTCACCCACAGTAGACATGTTTCAGCAGAGATTCCAGATTAAGACAGACTAGGAAGAAGGAGCTGGCGGTCTACTTCTGAAAAAAATTGGCCAGTGAAAACCTTGTGAATAGCAGTGGAACATTGTCTTGTATAGTGCTGGAAGATGAGCTTCTCAGTTTGGAAGGCGCTCAACATACGAGGGGAGAACTGCCTCCTCAAAGGAGAGTTAACATTAATGACCTGGATGGGTAAAGCTTTCAGGACCTTCATTTGTTGATGTGACACAACTCAAAATGAGAAGAAACGGCTGCAAACATCCATTAATAATCAGAGCATGGAATGTATGAAGTATGAATCTAGGAAAATTGAAAGTCGTCAAAAATGAAATGGACTGCATAAAGATCTATATCCTAGACACTAGCGAACTGAAATGGACTGGTATTGGCTATTTCGAATTAGACAATCATATGGTGTACTATGCCAGGCATGACAAATTGAAGAGGAACGGCTTTGCATTCATTGTCAACAAGAACATTTCAAGGTCTATCCTGAAGTACAACGCTGTCAGTGATAGGAAAATATCCATACACCTACAAGGAATAGCAGTTAACACGACTACTATACAAATTTTAGCACTACCCCTAATGCCAAAGATGAGAAAAATTGAAGAATTTTACCAACTGCTAAAGTCTGAAATTGATCAAATATGCAAGCAAGATGCATTGATAATTACTGGTGATCGGAATGTGAAAGTTGGAAACCAAGAAGAAGGACTGGTAGTTGGAAAATACGGCCTTGGTGATAGAAAAGATGACAGAGATTGCATGATAGAATTTTGCAAGACCAACGACTTCTTCATTGCAAATACCTGTTTTCAACAACATAAATGGCAACCATACACGTGGACCTCGCCTGTAAACATATATCACTTGAAAAATAGCAGTAGAATGGCAAGTACCCTCAATTTCTTTATATATACACACACACATATATATACACTCACACAAACATGGATATTTACATAACTGTATACACAAACACACACAAAGAAAGAATTAACCCATGTAGTACAGGTTAGGTTATTTACTTGGAATAAAATAGGTAAGATGGAGACAGTAAGATGGCATTGTTCTGAACAGTGTCATCAGTGAAAGTTGCACTTGGAGATGACATTTAAATAGACCCCAGAAAGAGGAGAGGGAGTCGAGAAGGAGTTATATAAAGACTCAGACAAGTGGTATCACAGGCTGAAGAAAGAGCAGGCCCCAGAAAGGTCTCAGCCTTTTGGTCACTAAGGAAGAATCCATGTCCATGGAATGTAGAAAGATAGAAGAAGAGAAGAGTGAGCCAAGATTTGGGTGTTTAGTGCATTTGAGCCAGGCCAGGTGTGTCAGGAGAGAGGAGGGAGGCTTTCTCTCTCTTTCTTGGAAGAATTCTGGAAACATATGTAAAGTTTCAAGGAGAAAAGCCTAAACTCCTTTGTTACCTCTCTTTGGGCATGGCTCCTCAGGAGAGTCATGATGGCCCCTGGGAAATCTGCACAGGGAGGGAGAGGACACACCACTGCTCTCCTCTAACCCATCAAACATGGTACCCTGCTTCCAGTTCAGTCTCTGACTCTCCCTCTCCTCTGACCACCACCACAGAGATAACTACTGCCCCTCCTCAGAGTCTCTGGAAGCCACATGGCCTTGACCCTAATGTCCACCCTCCTCCCTGCTCCTCTGAGAAACAAACCCTTTCCTGAGTATAGGAAATAATACAGTACTGAGACAAGTTTAGAAACATCTCACAGCCTAGAGGTGACAGTTACTCATCACCTGTGGGGTCAGGACCTGGTGATGAGCATCTGGGACACCAAGAACTTCTGAGTCGTATCCCCCTCAGTCTAAACATAGTTTATCTTAGCTTCACTCATTTCTTATTCCAGCCATCTCTCTTCCTTTAGCCCTGTCTGAGACATCAGGGATGAGACACTACAAGGGTGAGAGGTCCTGGTCTGTGTCCATCTTCTGATGGGCTGGATCCTCTTCTTGGAGATCCTTTCTCTGTTCTCTCCTCATTTCTATCTTGTCTCAGATCTTTCCTGGGAGCTGGGGTCACCGCCTTCATCTTTTCCCATCTCCCAACCCCCCTGGACATAAGCTGTGCTGCAGAGTATGAAAGAATAGTTCTGTCAGCTGAGAGGGCGAATCTATGGTCCCCCTGGGGAAAGAGGCCTCTGATACTCACAAACGCCTCATTTTGTCTCTGGGTGAGAGGCTACAAGGATTGGAGATTCAGGGAGGATGAGAGTTGGGGTGCCTTTGGCCTTTCCTCTTGGTCACTTTTGATCATCTCCAGCCTCCCTCCATCCACTAGGAACATATCTGGGCCTCAGGGATGAGGATGAGGCAGAGGTAGGAGTTGCCTTGTTTTTTTCCATCCCTTTGAGGGTTGGATCCCCTCTGGGTGACCTTCCTTCAGGGGACCCTCTCTCTCACCTCAGCCTGGAGCTCCCCTGGGGACAAGGCCCTGAACTGACCATCAGAACACAGAGGGGACAGCATCAGGGGTTCCTCACCTGAGACTATGAGCTCCAGTGGGTCACTGGGTTGTGACAACAGGTAGGGAGATGTGCTGTGTGAGCTGTAGCACCTGTAGGTCCCCGCATGGACTGAGTTCACAAGGCTCATGGTGAAGTTGACCTGAAAGGGCCCAGTATTGTTCTGCCAATGAAGGTGCTGGGGAGGGGCAATGAAGCCCTCCTTGAACAGATGAAATGTATCACACCAGCTCTCTGAGCGACACTGCAGGGTCACGTTCTCTCCCAAGGTCACTGAGGGGCCTGGATGGGCTGACAGTGAGGGTTTCTCAAATGTTCCTGTGCAAGAAGGAGACCATAGTGTATAGGGAGCCATCCAGACCTCACCTCCCTTGAGATGACCACCATCTCCTCTTCAGGGACTCTCCTTCTGTGACCCCTCTTTCTGTACCTTTCCGTTTCTCTTTGGGGGTGGTCTCTCTTATCCCTATGTCTCTCACTCACCCTTTTTCACTCCCCTCCCTGGATGAAAGCCAGCATCTTAGCTCTGCTCCAAGACCTTGTCTCCCTTGACCCCATCTCCACCAGGGGAGACCCTGAGCCCACACCTGAGCAGATCATCTGGATGTGGGACTGGGCAGGAGATCTGCACCTGCTACCAGGATGTACAGGGTCACTGGGAGACCAACCATCCAGAGAAGATTTTGTATGCATCATAGCACTTATACTGGCCCCTGTGAAGTGGTTCACATGGCCCAGGGTGAAGTTGGGACTGTGCAGCCTGTCAAGGCGCTGTTGGGAGGGCAGGGTGAGAGCTGTTCATTCTTGGTTAGAGCAAACCTGTCAAAGCTGACCTCTGAGCTACACTGTAGGGTCAGACTGGCTTCAGGCAGCACCAGTGAGCACAGCTGGGCTAAAAGGGAGGGCTTTCTTTATCCCCCCTTGAGATGAGGAGACAGTGGCATTGAAGTTGATGCACATCTCCACTGTCTATGGGGACTGCAGTGAGTCCTCATTGGTATCCTTCACACTCCCCTCTGTGATTCTGCTCCCAAAAGGCCACTGTCACCAATCACCCCATCACCACTAGGACTCTGCTGGACACATGGCTTAGATCTGTCATTTTGGAGTCTCAGGAAAGAGATGGAGCCCCACAAGGCTCCCTCACCTGTGACCTTGAGGTCCACATGGTCACTGGGGTGTGACCACACATGGGAGGAAAAGCGGAAAGAACCATAGCATCTGTAGATGCCTCCATGAGAGATGTTCACAGAGTCCACAGGAAAGACAGCCTGGTGCCTCCCAGCAGAGAACCGAGATTCCCTGTGTTGGGGAGGACCAGCTCCTCCCTCCTTCAGCAGATGGAAAGTGTCCATTGTGTCCTTTGAGTTACACAAGAGGGACACGTTCCCTCCTGAAGCCACGATAGGGCTTGGATGAGCTGAGAAGGATGGTTTGCTGTACATTCCTGAAAAAGAAGGAGGGAGCTGAGTTAAACGGGGGATGCAGTCACCTCACATTACTCCACAAGTGTAGCCTGTGAGGTGTGAGTTTCCCCCTCCTCCAAGGCCACACTATGCTCCCTTCTGCCTTTGGAAGGAGCTCATAGTAGATAGTGGTGGTTCTGGTTTCTCCGTCTTACCTGTCACCACTAGTTGCAGGTAGTCGCTCCTCTCTGACCAGCCACTTGAGCTGTTATATATACACTGGAACTGCCCTGCAGAGTTTGGACTCATGGATTTGATGGAGAATCTGGCCTTGTCCCTGAAGTTCCATGCAACCCACATACCCAAGAGTTGAGAGACTTGCTCTTTATACAGATGGTAGCTTTCAGCCTGCAGGGATCCCTGACACCAGATGGTCACAGGTCTCCCCATAGTGATTATGGTGCCTGGGTCAGCCCAGATGAAGGGCTTGGGAAGTGTCCCTGGAAAGAAGTGAGACCTGGAGTTCCAAGAGGTTCCTTTCACTTCAGTTTCCCCAGCTCTCCCTCCAAGGCCCCTCCCAGACTCTCACCATCAGCCCAGACCTTCTGTGCTCCTCCCAGAGTTGCCCAGGAGATTTCCTTGTGCTGAACCAGGAGGTTGGAGCTGGGAGGTGTGGGGAGGACTCACCTGCCTGTATCTGGTTACACTGCCTCTGACACAGCCCTAGGAGAGAGTTTCCTGTGAAAAGCTTGTTCATTCCACCCACACACAGAAGTTCCATGGGTGGTCTGAGCCCCTGAGCACTGGGGTCAGAAGGGGTATAAGCACTTTCTCTCCTCCCTTCTAAGGCTCAGCCTTCCCTTGAGATTCCCTGGGTCTCCTGAGATAACAGGACTGGGCACGGAGAAGGGGACCTCACTCCTTCTCTTTTCCCCAAAGCTCACCAAGATAGAGAAGGGCAGTGAAGATTGGGGTCACAGCACTGCCTCCCATGGTCCTCGGTGGGGCAGACAAATTATAATGATCATAGAACCTGGTAAGACAAACAGACACACAGGGTGTGGCAAGTCTTAGGTTCCGTGTTTTGTGTCACATGGTTTCCTCATCAGCAGCCTCACAGGAAGGGAACAGTCCCTCCCCGGGGCCTGGCTCTGCTTCCCCAGAAGCTAAGGACTAAGGAGACAGCAGGCTCTGGAGAACTTTCAGTCCAGATCTGAGTCTTACCCAAAGGAATGTATGAGGGATATACTTACAATAAACAATAATAAAACTCCAGCATGAATCAACCCCAAGATGGTGTGTTGATCAGTATTCTAAGTGAGTTGTTCAAATTTATCATGTAACTCTGACACAAACCCTATGACACGAAAAACAACATAAATGGTAAATATACAAGTGGACCTCACCACATGGAATATACAAGAATCAAATCAACTACATCTGTGGAAAGAGACAATGAGAAAGCTTGATATCATCAGTCAGAACAAAGCAGAGGCCGACTATGGAACAGACCAATAATTGCTCATATGTAAGTTAAGATGAAGCTGGAGAAAATTAAAACAAGTCCACGAGAGCCAAAGTATGACCTTAAGTATATTCCACCTGCATTTGTTGAGTAGATTTGATGCGTTGAACACTAATGACCAAAGACCAGACGGGTTGTGGGATAACATGCACAACATCATACATGAAGAAAGCAAAAGGTCATTAAAAAACAAGAAAGAAAGAAAACAGCAAAATCGATGTCAGAAGAGACTCTGAAGCTTGCTCTTGAAAGTAGAGTAGCTAAAGCGAACGGAAGAAGCGATGAAGTAAAACAGCTGAACAGAAGATTTCAAAGGGCTGCTCGAGAAGACCAAGTAAAGTATTATAGTGAAATGTGCAGAGACATGGAGTTAGAAAACCAAAAGAGAAGAACATGTTCGGCATTTCTCAAGCTGAAAGAACTGAGGAAAAGATTCAGGCCTCGAGCTGCAATATTGACGATTTTTTGGGCAAAGTCCACCACTCATCGGTCAGTTTATTTAGGCCATCATCTTCAACAGTTTTAAATGTCAGGTGATGATAAAACCAAACCAAACTCATTGCTGTCGAGTCGATTCTGACTCAACAACCCTATAAGACAGACTAGAACTGTCCCATAGGGTTTCCAAGGAGCAGCTGGTGAATTCGAACTGTCAACCTTTTGGTTAGCAACCGAGCTCTTAACCACTGAGCCACCAGGACTCCAAGGTGGTGATACTTCGTTATTATTTTGAGGAAGATGGAGAACTGTGGAAAGATTTTGAACAGGGGATGTTCGGTGTCAGATAATATTGGGGCCAGTGAGAAGAATGACCTGCAATAAGGAGTGAGAGTGTGGATAGGCGACCAGGAAGGAAGCTGGTGTGATGTCACAGACAAGACATCTTAAGCCTTCAACTGGGCTTGAACTATGGTGATGGACCAGGGAACATGGATGAGAAGGACTCAGGGGGAAGAACTGTTTGCATTTGCTGGTTGTTTGTAAAGCAGAAGAGAGTGAAGAATTCAGGGTTATTCCACTCTGCCTTGGTTGACTGGATGATCCAGGGGGGCCATCACAGAAAAGATGACCCCAGGGAGAGTAGTAGAAATGGGGAGATGTTTATAACACAGTTAGCTGACTCTCAGGGGAAGCACAACCTGCCTCCTGGCCTGAGCATGTGGGTTTTATTTCCCCAAACATTTCCCAACACTGACTTCCCTGTTTCTATAAGTAACAGCCTCTTTCTCTTCTTCATTGTCCATCAGAACCTCTGAGTCATTTTTGTATCCTCACTACCTCTACTTCCCTTGACCATAACTTTTCATTCCCTACTGTGAATTTTGATTTCATGCTTTGGGCAAGAGCACTAGTTGGGAGCCATTCATAGGTTTCAATTTAAGACATGGCTGTTACATTTACTGACTGTTGATCTGGAGCAGATAACATCCCTTTTTGCATTTTCCTCATTGTAGAAAAATTATAACAGCTCCATCTCTCAGAGTTGTTGTGGGAAATTAGCAGTGCCTGAGAAATGGAATGGGCTCAATCTGATGTAGTTTCAGTGACCAGATTATGATAAGTGGAATAAGAGCAATTATAGTAAGGATTATATTAATTTAGCTAATTGGAAGCCCCTAACACTGCCCTCCTACTCAACATGGTAAATCAGAAGTAATACTATATACTGGGTGAAAGGTAGAGTGCCATAACTACTTAAGAGATGCAAGACTGCTGGTTCTCATCTAGAATTATAAACTTGGACGGATTGTTGTTAATAGTGAAAGTGGGAACTATGGGACTTAAGGTATTTCCTACCTGATGGGAGTCCTGCCTCATGTAAAAATCCACCGGGTCATGGAGCAACTTCTTGAGCTACAATGAATGTATGGTGAACCATATCCTTTTATGTAATATTTTCTTATTGAGGTAAAATTTATATAACAAAAAAGTAACTATAAACCATTGACAGTGTACAATTAAGTGGCATTTAGTACATTAAGAATGTTGTGCAACCATCATCTCTATTTGTTCAGGTCATGGCAGTCTAACCTTAAGTTTATCAGTTAAAAGAGATTCAACAACCTCATAAGACTGTCAACCCCATAGAATAGTCACACTTAAATAGGATACCCTGTAGGATGATGATTTATCATCAGAATTGATTTCTTCAAATATTGATCATAATGTTGGAGGCTCAGGTCATAAAGCTAATGAAGAGGTAGAACCAGGACTGGAGATCCATCTTTTTCACCCTCAGTTCTATAGGTTTGGTAGCGCATTGCACTGGTCAGATCTACTTGGTTTCTTGTGGGGCCAGATGTGGCCTAGAGTGATCAGAGCTCATGGGCTAAACTACTTTAGCTGTAACCAGCCTTTTCCATTTTCCCAATGTACTGTACAAATTATAACCCCTTCTTCTTGTGCAATTACCAGAGTAAAGTTAGAGAACAGTAGTTTATTAAACCTGGTTCCGTATCCTTCAGCCTCACTGATTATCTCCTGGTTGCCAGGCACTTGTTTGGGTTAGACATATAACTTTCACAGGGTTCTGGGCTGGCCATCGTAGTCCATGAGATACTGGCCAGAGGTACAGATGAAGTGCCCTTTGGAGTCATAGAGAACCTACAGATAGCCACAGAGCTGTCTTTCCAGTTAATCCTGTGACAGCTGTGTGGTGTTATGATGGTGTTGTCCCAATTATGGACACAAGGTTTCAGTTTAGGTTTCCTTTGGAAATTCTTGTGTGTATTGCTTTGATCATTTTTACAAAAAATATAACATACTTTGGGAGAACAAGTGATATCCAAGTGATTTTCTTCCCAAGATGAAGAGAATAATAATATCAGAGAGAAGACTAGAGTGAGTACATAAGCCTTTGAATTCCTCAAGTCACTTGCGTTAGAGGTTAGTCTTCTGAGCTTACAGACTGTTTGTCAGCACTGAATAAAAATGTGAACAGGTCCACCTTGTCACTGGTGGATACATCAGACCTTCTTGACAGAGATCAGAAGAGAAAGATCCCTAAAATTTTATTTCATATACTTACTGATGATGGCTCGTCTTGAAGGACAGACAGAGCCACTGGAAGGAGCATCAAAATCCCTTCAATCACATGTAAATGAGGTTAAAAAAATTCTTCAATGCATTTCAAAGAATAAAGAACAACATCAGAGAGAAATAGTTTATGAGTTTCATGAAAATGTTCAGTTTCAAGAAAGCTTGTCCAAGAAACTGCTGAAAGGAAGGACAGTGTAGAAACTGAAGGAACAAGAAAAAAATGCTTGAAAATTTCAACATAATCAATGAACTTCCAGTTCAAATGAAAAGTCTTCAAGTAGAGTAGGCATGTTTACAGTGTGACAACACACAGTTTGAAAGTGAGATTCAAAAGCTTCAGGTGAAACTCCAGATACTACCTGAACTACATGAAGAATGTGACAATGCAACTCTGCAGAAAATTAATGGAGCATTGGAATTACTGCTTAGAAAGAGAACACTTTTCAAACTGTATGAAAATATCAACAGTACACATTAACACCTTGACTTCTACAAGATCATGGACAAAATCCTGGAGAAACAATTAGAAAGCATCATTTCCTTCCACCAAAAGCAGAATTAGCTCCCATGAGAAAAGCAATCTACAAAGTTGGTTGGATTAGAAAATAATCAACGTAATCCACCATATAAATAAAGCAAGAGAAAATAATCACATGATCATCTCAATCGATGTTGAAAAGACATTTGATAAAGTCCAACATCCATTCCTGATAAAAACTCTCAATAAAATAGGAATAGAAGGGCAATTCCTCAGCATAATAAAGGGCATCTATGCAAAACCAACAACCAACATGATTCTCAATGAAGGGAGGTAAAAACATCCTCCGTGAGAACAAGAACAAGACAAGGATGCCTTTTATCATCATTCCTATTTAACATTGTGCTGGAAATCCTAGCTAGCACAACAAGGCAAGAAAAAGAAATAAATGGCATCCAAATTGGTGAGGAAGAAGTAAAACTATCCCTGTTCGGGGGTGATATGATACTATACAAAGAGAATCCAAAAGACTCCACAAGAAAACTACTGGAGCTAATAGAAAGATTCAGCAGAGTAGCAGGATACAAGATAAACATACAAAAATCAGTTAGATTCCTATACACCAATAAAGAAACCTACGAAAAGGAAATCAGGAAGTAATACCATTTATCTCAGCCCCTTAAAAAAATAAAATATTTAGGAATAAATCTAACCAGGGATGTAAAAGACCTATACAAAAAAAACTATAAAAAACTACTGCAAGAAACCAAGAGACCTACATAAATGGAAAAATATACCATGCTCATGGATAGGTAGACTCAACATTGTGAAAATGTCAATTATATCCAA